CCTCTCACAGCGAAGCCTTTGGAGAGTAATGGGACCACGAGGTCTCTGATCTCATCAGTAGATGATAGCTAAACGGGCTATTGCCAGGTGGTGAAAACTTTGGCAGGTTTAGCCAATTTGAGAAAGGTGGGTCACCAGAAGTGTGCATTTGAAGGCTGTATTTGATCCTCAGGTTCTTCCTTTATCTCTCTGCTTCCTGGACACCATAAGATGAACAGTTTTCCTCCATTGCACACTTGCTACCATGGTCCTTTGTATCATGATAGGTCTAGAAGCAATGAGAACAAGTGACCACAGTCTGAAACCTATACAACTGTGAACTAAAACAAGCTATTCCTCCCTTAGGATGGTTTTCTCCGGTATTTTGTCACTATGATGTACAGCTGACCATCATAGTTACCATCTGACCTGTCAGTGTTCTATTGCTGTGAAGAGACACCATGATCATGGCAACTCTTACAAAGGAAAGCATTTAATTGCTTAGTTTTAGAGGTTTAATCCGTAGTTGTCATGGTGGGGAGCATGGTGACACACAGGCGGACATGGTGCTGGAGAAGTAGGTGAGAGTTCTACATCTGGATCTGCAGGCAGCAGAAAGAGAGGCAGGCACTGGGCCTGGCTGGGGCCTTTGAAACCTTAAGACCCACCACCAGTGACACACTTCTTCTCAACAAGACTATACCTCCTTCTTAAGTAGAGCCACTCCTTGATGACTGTCTTAGGGTTTGTACTGGTATGAAGAGATGTCATGCCATGGCAACTCTTTTTTTTTTTTTTTTTGGTTTTTTGAGACAGGGTTTCTCTGTGTAGCTTTGGAGCCTATCCTAGCACTCTCTCTGGAGACCAGACTGACCTTGAATTCACAGAGGCCTGTCTCTGCCTCCCAAGTGCTGGGATTAAAGGCGTGCGCCACCAACGCCCGGCTGCCATGGCAACTCTTATAAAGAAAAATATTTAATTGTGGTGGCTCCCTTACAGTTCAGAGGTTCAGTCTAATTGTTATCATCATGGTAGAACATGGCAGTGTGCAGGCAGACATGGTGCTGGAGAGGTAACTGCTACATGTTGATATGCAGGCAACAGGAAGTAGATTGAGACACTGGGTGGTATTTTGAGCATAGATCTCATAGCCTGCCCCCATAGCAACATACTTCCTTCAACAAGGCCATACCCACTTCAACAAGATCACATCTCTTAATACTGCCACTCCATATGAGGTTATGGGAGCCAATTACATTGTAACTACCACATTCCACTCCCTGGCCCCCATAAGTTTGTAATAATATCATAATGCAAAATGCATTCAGTCCAATTTTAAAAGTCCCCATATAGTCGCAAATGTATTTAAAATTCAAAGTCTCTTCTGAGATTCATGTAATCTCTTCCCTTAATCTCCTCTAAAATTAAAATAAAAAACAGACCACACACTTTCACCATATAATGGCACAGGATATACATTACCATTGTAATACATAGGGAAGGGAGCACAGGGAGGAAATACTGGACCAATGATAGACCAAAAACCAGCTGGACACACTCCAAACTCCAAACTCTGCATCTCCATGTCTGACATCAAAATACTCTTCAGATCTCCAACTCCTTTCAGCTTTGTTGACTGCAACACACTTCTTTCTCTTGGGCTGGTTCCACTCCCCATTGGCAGCTTTCCTTGGCAACTATCCCATGGCCCTGGCATCTCCAATATCTTGGGGTCTCCTAGGCAATCCAAGATTCATCTTCACAGTTTTACAAAACGGCCTCTCTAGGCCTCCATTCAAGGACACACCTGACACATATGCCTGACTAGAGTGGCTTTCCTTAGTTGTGAGGGCAAACTCCATAATCCCTTTCTTCTATCCTTGACTCTAAAGCCAGAACCACATGGCTGAAGCTGCTAAGTTCTGCTGCTTGCTGGTGCTGGAACATAGCCCCCTGGTTGAATTGCATCTTCACCAGCTTTCTGTTTTCCACCTTCATTTCCTAAGCTTGGATGTCCTGAAACTGGATCTGTAGACCAGACTGCCCTTGAACTCTACCTTCTGAGTGGTGGGATTAAAGGTATGTGCCAACACACCTGGCTCTAAGTGTTTATTTAATTCCCCTTCACAAATCAAAAACTTAGCTGGGTAGAATCCAGCCTTGAGGTCACCACTCCCTTTATTCCATTTATTAATCTGTTTATCTCCTTGAACATATGACTTAGTTCCATTCCACTTTTTGATGTTTCTTTTCTCCTTAAATTTTACATTTTGTAATGTAAATGCCCTACTCAGCTTGCTCCCTTTCATTATTATTCTTCATTAGAGTTACTACTAATAACCTCATGACAGAATCTATACTAGGCTCCTTTGAGATTTCCTTTGCCAACAGAATAAATTCAAAACTCCTTACTTTAGCTTCAGGCAAATTCTTTAGACAAGGGTAAAAGGCAGCCACTTTTTTTCACTAAAATTTCACAAGGATGATCTCTAGGCCACATATTAACTTGAACTTGTTAGAGAGGTTTACTGACTACTGGAAAACTATATGACTATTCTTTGAAGATTAGAAAAACACTAAATCCATTTCCTTTCTCCCATGAGCACTAGGAGAATGGATTTTTATCTCTCACCACCATTTTGAAAATACAAGAGTGTAACTTTACCTGTTATCTTAGAGAAGAATTAATATTTAAGATCGGAAGTAGATAGGCTTACACATGCCTTTTGCTTCAATCTAATTTCCAGAAATTCTTTTCCTTATATATTTTGAGATTTTCTTGACCTGGTAGAACTAAACTGAAACATACTGTGGTAGGGTTCGGAATGACTTTGGTTTCAGTTGAGTACTTAGTCACCAAGAAGTGGAACTCTTTGATAGAATTAGAAAGATTAGGAGGTATGGCCTTGTAGGAGGAAATGTGTCACTGGGGATGAGTTTTTAGATTTCAAAAGCCCGTGCCAGGCCTAGTCTCTCTCTCTGCCTATCTCAGGATCTTAGCTACTGCTCCAGTGCCTGCCGGCATGCTGCCATTCTCCCTGCCATGATGGGAGTTAGCTAAACCTCTGAAACTATAAGCCAGCCCTAATTAGATGATTTATTTTGTAACAGTGGCCTTGGGCATAATGTCTCTTCATAACAATTGAACACTGACTAAGACACATGCTAATAATCTATTATTAGCTTTTCATAACAAAGCAGAAAAGGCATTCCCATGAGCAAGGAAAAAACAAGTAACAAAAAACAAGTCTACAAAATAAACAGGGGATTAAGTGTTGGTAAATAAATACAGAAAAGTATTACAATAATGAGAAAAATCTCATGTTTATGTTGAACTAATGTAGAAACTGACTAATTTACTACTAAAACCCAAGAATTACTAACTAACCATGTATTATACAGATGGCTCATGAGTGAGGAGCTACAGAGGGTTTCTGGATAGTCCCTGTATGAAGTTAAGGTTTTTCAGATAAAATTTTCAGATAAAATTTTAAGTTGTGTCTCAGACATTTGGCAGACCTCATACAATGATTTGATACTTGGTTATGTACCCAACCAAAGATATTGGAAAACATAAGTCCATAGATGTTTAAATGTACAGGTGCCCAGTTGAGCCCAACAACTTTTTATTTCTAGAGCCCTGTACTGGGTACTCCGGAGTCTGGTGTTATCCCATAGGGAAGCAAGGCTTTGACTTTCCATTCATTCAACCCTGAAGTTGTCTTCTCCACATTAGGAGAAATCTAAGGTAGTCATTGCCTTATAGTTGTGTTATGCATGGCTTGTACACAGCCATGTCTGTGCTGACACCTGCAAGCAAACATGGCAAGACAGCTGGAGAATCTGGGCAGATACTAGGGAGTCATGCAGACTAGGGGTGACCAGAGAGAATGTGCAACATGGCCATAGAAGTCTAGTCCATAGATTAGTGACAGACAGTGATATGTGTAGCTGTTGTATACTTTGCTAAGTTGTTTCCATACATCCAGTGATGTGGTCCTGAGCCTTGAACTGTTTCTGTTTTCTTCCTAACTTCTATTTGTTTCACCCAAAAGAGAGAAACATTGCTTTTAAAGATGCATATTTTGGAAAAAGTGAGTCCATGAACATGTGGATGAACAAGTGTCTAGTTGAGTCTCTTTTACTGGTCATGAAGTGGCTGTCATCCTTTTCTGGATTTGCAAGATCACAGTAAATTCTTCCCAGATAGTACAAGTGGATCTGGTCAGTATAGTGATTCTCTCAGAACAGTTGCTTTCCTGAGCTGCTGATAACCTGTTTTCATGTCCCTATCACTTCCTATAAAACTTCTCCCTGGTTCTGTCTACTTCCTTTTCTTTCAGTTATGCATTAATCTATAGCAAGTGACTGGAAGTGAGGACCCTGTTAAATGCTGAAAGTATCTGGACACAGGTCTATGTGAATCTCAAAACCAAAGGGCACCAGGAGGCGCCATGATGGTGTCATTATGTCAGGGAGGACTGAACTCTTTTTGTTATGTGTTGGATTTGAGTACTAACAAATCATTCAAGGAGAAATGTCCTTAAGGGTAATTGTGAAGTGGGATTGTATAGAGCTTGGTGGAAAATCACAATCAGAATCAGCAGCTTTTAGCACAGTGATGACTTAATAGTGAAGGAGGCAATACCTGTAAGCAAAAGTCTGTGGGCAGGCATGGGACATTTCCAGAAATTCATATTTAGCAAAGGAGGCAGGGTAAGTAATCAGAAAGGGACTGGGTAGTATAGGCCAGCTTTATTGCACACTTGCTCTATTACAAATTTTATAATTTTTGTTTTTAACCTATTCATAGCCTTCCCTTGGAGGAAGAGTTATTTGAATTGACCGATAAACAAAATCAAATTGAGAAAAGTTTAAGATTTTTCTCTACAGGTTAAATATATACCAAATAGTGGTGCCAAGTTGGCTGGACAACAAAATCTACATTTTTTTTTTTTTTTTTTTTTTTTTTTTTTTTTTTTTTTTACTTGAAGAGGCTTTATTTTCAGGGGAGCAGAAATTTAATCAAACAAGACAAATCTCACGTCACCATCTGACTCCTCAGACTCCTCCTTCTTCTGTTTTTCTTCTCTGCTGCACCTGGTGGGGTGGGGTTTGGGGTGTGGTGGGGGTGGGGAGGGAACTAGCAGCAGGAGCTGCAGAGCCAAGGATAGCAGCCACAGCCCCACCAGCAGGCACACTCACAAGTTTGCCAATACTCTGGGTGATGACATCATCACGTTTTCCCATTCAGCTCACTGACGACTGATGACCTTGCTGAGCTGGTCGTAGTCCCCCTTGATGCCCACGCTGTCTAGTATCTTCTTAATGTCTTTGGCTGTAGGAGAAGAGTTGCCCCCAAGGGCTGCAAGCAAATAAGAGGCGACATAGCACAGACTGGTTGGCTGCTGCGGACAGGGCTCATGCCTGCGACAGGCAGCCCGAGACCAAAATCTACATCCTTTTTCTTTCTTTCTTTCTTTCTTTCTTTCTTTCTTTCTTTCTTTCTTTCTTTCTCTCTCTCTCTCTCTCTCTCTCTCTCTCTCTCTCTCTCCCTCACTTCTCTGTGTAGCTTTGGAGCCTGTCCTGGAATTCTCTCTGTAGACCAGGCTTGCCTAGAACTCACAGAGATCCCTTCGGCTCTGCCTCCAGAATGCTGGGATTAAAGGCGTGTGCCACCACCGCCCGGCTCCAAAATCTACATTCTTAACAGTAAAAAAAAAACAAAAAACAAAAAAACCCAAAAAGCAAAACAAAACAAAACCAAAACTGATCTACATTTTACATGAACCACTACACGGCAGTTTGCTATTGAGAATGGGCTGACATCAGGACAGTATCAAAGTGGAGCAGGAGACTCACTTTTGGGACCCATATCGGGTGGAAGTATGAGTGGGTGGAGATGACATGGCAGGGACGGGAAAGACACCTCAGGAATGAAGACTGAAAACCGTGCATTGGTGAGTGGTGTCATGGCTAATGTTACAGGTATACCCATTTCCAAACTGGAAAGACCACCCACAGACAACATACAGGATCCAGAGAAAGAAGGTTCCGGAAGAAAAGTGTCAAGTGAATAATCCACAGAAGACATAGAGAAGTAAGTGTACTTGCAGCAAGGGGCCACACAAGAGCCAGCAAACCAAGATCTAGGACCAACCAAACCTTCCAGGTTTATAGTAGTCTCATTTATCACAATGATACCAAATAAAGACAACTTTCATTTATATGGACACAGAGTTAAAATTTCCAATTATTAAATTATCAGAGGAACAGTTAGATAGCTCAGTGGATAAAGTCGCTTGATGACCCGAGTTTGATTCCCGAAGTACACATGGTGAAAGGAGAGAACCAACTCTTGCAAATTCTCCTCTGGCTTTGATACTGTTCTCTCTCTTTCTCTCTCTCTCTCCTCTTCCCCCCTCACATACACACACAGAACTACATGCAAAAATTTTCTGAGGTTTTGAAAATTCAAGGATAGTTTGATGTGTGAATTACAAGATTGGATTTATAAGAAAAATACCATAATTCTTTCAAGTTACATTCCTGAGTCCATAGTACTTTATTTTAGGGGCATCCACCACTCACATGCTGCACTCAATCCCAGTGCCTGGTTTGAATTTGACTCTAAAAAATGCTATTTAATAAAATATCCTTATTTGGGAGAACAACTTCTTCAGCTTGTTTATATTTTTTATTATTAAAACCACTTTTTGTACCTTTGATTTATTTGCTTTGGCAGCCTTGAAGCCCTGGATACACATTGGGGTCATTTTTGTGATAATTCACTGGTTTTTGTGTCACTTCCAAGCTGTGTCCAATTGTCTGTGTGTCTTTGCAATCAGAATCAGTTTTCGTCTCTGAGCAAACAAAGTCAGAAGTGCTTTCTGATTAATTACATGCTTAAATATTTAGGAGCACCCCTAAAACTTAATGTAATAAGATGTGTAGAAGTTGTCACATGAGCATCCTAAATGAATCCAGCCTTTGGGAATGTCCTCAGCTTTGCCAGGGTTTGAGGAACAGGAAGATTGTTGGGAAATTCTTTGGAGACTGACGTGGGATCAAGAACAGCCTGTTATTCAGCAGAAATGAACTCAATATTCTTGTCAAGAGAAAGTTTCCTCATGAAACTGAAAAAAAAAAGCCCATATAATTTAATTTATGTGACTTTTTGTCAACTCTGGTTCATTTTGCTGCTTTTGCTTGTTTATTTTCTTGGAGGGTTTTGGATGTTGAACTTTTGGACTGGGACCAGAAAACTCTGAGCTTCATTGACCTTGACTTGCCAAATGGAGTGGAGGAAATGGGCTTGATTTTTTTATATTTCTGAATGCCTAGGATGAAGAAGATTATACTCCTCACTTGTGTTTGGTGAATTTTTAAACGAAAGCCGGGCAAACCTTCAAAGTACTGAGCACAACTCTGAGGCCCTGCACACTGCTCCCTCTCTTCTCAACTTGCCATGTACTGGAGTCACCTTTTTCCATCCCAAGTTTCTGTTTTCCCAGATTCCAGTGCTGGACATTGGCACACCCCAGCTACCTTAAATCTAAGCTTTCTAGCAGGAAGCAAGTCCTCCAGCCTACTCCCCTTTCTGTTAATGAACAATGTTGTGAAAACTTTCCAGAACCAAGGATGACTTGAGTCAACCCTAACAAAAGATTAAGTCAGAGGGCATGAAGGAAGGGTTCTCAAACACAATTCTCTGATAACCATTGCAGACATTGTGACTTTTCCCAAAGGCCACCACAATATCACCCCAAAACCACTTCTGCAAGGACATATGCCTGGCAACTGCCTTTTCAAACGCAGATCGGCACCACTCTTGTTAATGATCTTGAAGCCAAGGACTATTGTTTCAAAGTATCTTATGTAATCCTTCTCATTCCATTTAAAAATTTCACCCTTGCCTCAACTTCATTGAATATGCTCATCGTTTTCAGTGGCCCAAGTATTCCCATTTCATCATTCTGTGTCTCCAAGTAAATATTATTCTTTGGAAAAATCTCTCTTTGATTGTTATTTAAGTTGACAGCATCATCTTCTCATAGTTAATGAGCCTGGAAGTGTTTTTACTTTTCTTCATCTTCCACATATGGGCAATGACTATGTCTAATGAAGGTTGTCTACCATGGCATCCCTCCCTTTCTCCCCACATCTAATAGGTAGCCATTGTTTATACTCTCTCTACAATGTTCACAGCCCCACCCCCTTTAACTTATTTCTTTCTGCCATTGTTCTGCTTTTAGTACCTTCTTAGCTAAGTGGCCTCTACTTTCTCTATTTCTTGTTGCAGATGGCAGCTGGAGTTGTTTTGCTGAGAAATCAACATTTTTTTTGTGGCATGTCTAGTGGCAGCATCATTTTCTATTCCTACTGCACCCCCCCCCCAGCAGTCCAACTGTGCTGTGTTCTGTTCTGCTCATCTGAAATATCATGCACTTCCATGGTCTCATGCTTGTTTGTCCTCCTGTCATACCATTCTGCATGGCCAAATTACAAAAGCACCTCTAAATCTGATCCATTAAAATCATGTAACAGAATATGTTTAGAACAGAACAGGGCTCAGAATTACTTTTGGATTGAGTTAAGTTGAAGTGAAAACTTAAAAAGCTTCAAGGTCCAAATAAAGTATGGGGGATTATTTTATTGCCTGAGAAGTATCATTGGAAGTCATATATCACACAATGGTCCATTATTCCCTGCCCCTTGTCCCTAAGCTCCTGCCATTGGTGTGGTTGGCCTTGGATAATTCTTCTCTACTTGGAATTTCTGTATGTATGTCCCCGTATAACACATTATAAAACATATTTGAGAAAACCACTTTGCAATGAACATATTTGTAGGTTTATTTTTAAAAGTACATCTGTAATTTTAAGTTCCTAGCAATGAAATTCTTGAATTAAAAAGAAAGATGGAATTAAACCATTTGCTTTATGTTGGAAAATTTTAGTAACACTTTAGTAACTAGCCCAAAGGTATTGAAGATGCTCAGGTTTCCTGTACTTACCAAAAGTGAGTGTCATCGAACTTAGATTTTTGTCCATTATATACCCCAAACATCCCCATTTCCTTAGTTTTTGAAGGATTCGGTGAGCATCTTTACATATATGCTTTGGTCTTTTGTCACAGTGTGGACCTACTGCTGATGTGGTATTTCTTTCTCTTTCTCTCTCTCTCTCTCTTTTTTTTTTAAAGATTTCATTTATTTACTATATATACAATTATCTGCATGCATGCTTGCACACCAGAAGAGGGCACCAGATCTCATTACAGATGGTTGTGAGCCACCATGTGATTTGCTGGGAATTGAATTCAGGACCTCTGGAAAAGCAGTCAGTGCTCTTAACCTCTAAGCCATCTCTCCAGCCCCTGATGTAGTATTTCTACATGGCTTTTTGTTGCCTCTGTGCCACACCCCTGCCTCTCTCTTAGCTGGGAGTTCCCTGAGGTTATTTTTTTAAAAATATTTTTCATTATTTAAGATACTTTTAAAACTTAAATTCATTTTGCTCATATTCTTTTCATCCTTCAAGTCCTTCCAGATCTTCCCTCACTCCCTATCCACCCAACTTTAGGTTCTTTCTCAAAAAACAAATGAAAACCCAATACAGCAATAGACCACCCAAACTAAGAAAACAAAACAAAATCACACCCTCAAAATCCTCCCAAACTGTAATTAAATAAACACACACACACACACACACACACACCTCTGTCGAGTGCATTCTATATTGGGCAATTACTCCTGAACTAAAGCCTGTCGTGGAGTGGTTGATATATCCAGTATCACTCTGCTGGAGAAAACTGGTTTTCACTCTCCCAGCAGGTATAAGTCATAACCCTTACCCTAGTGGCTAGATATTCACTCACTCACTCATTCATTCATTCATTCATTCATTCATTCAAAATTTAGCAGAATAAAATATAATAAGATAAACAAAAACCATCACATTGAGGTTGGACCAGACAAACCAAGAGAAGGAAAAGAGTCAAAGAGAAGGCACAAGAATCAGAGACCTGCTTGTTTGCACACTGAAATCTATGATACATACACAGAGGATCTGGTGCAGACCTGTGCAGGTCCTGAGCGTGCTGCTTCAGTCTCTGTGAATTTACATGATCTTTGCTCATGTTCATTTAGAGGGTATTGTTTTCTTGGTGCCCGCCATCCCCTCTGGCTCTTACGCACTTTCCCTGAGCTCTGAGTGGGAGGGAATTGATGGAGACATACCATTTAAGGCTGAGTGCTCCAAGGGCCTTCACCCTCTGTAATGTCTGCTTATGGGTCTCTATCTTTGTTTCCATCCACTGTAAGAGGAAGTTTCTCTGCTGAACAAGGCATTGATCTACAAGTGTAGCAGAATAACATTAGGAATCATTTTATCACTATTTTTTTTCTTTTTTAGACCACTATTATTTGATTTTACCCTAGGTTCCTGGGCTATCAAATAGTAGGTTCTTGGTTACCCAAGCAGTGTCAGGTGTGGGTTCCACCTTGTGGAGTGGGTCTTAAGTCAAGTTAGTTATTGGTTGCTTACTTCTACAAGCTTTGTGCCAACATTGCTCTAATATGTCTTGCAGGCAAGTAAGCCATTGTAGATAAACGGTTGGTGGCTGGCTTGATGTTTACTTTTTGTTGTTGTTGTTTTTTAGAGTGTACAGAGTATGTTCCTGTATCAAAGACATTGGAACAGAGTGGTGAAGACTCTATGTAGGCACTGGCTCTATATCTCCATTGTCAATGAGTTGTGTAGGTGTTATCATCAGCAACAGAGTCTTGCTGTCACTTTGTGGAGAGCAATCCACAGTCTTGTCAGCAGCCTGGGTTGTTTTGGAATTCCCCATGGGGCCCCTTCTAATCTTCCGGGGGGGGGGGATCTGCCACACTAATTTCCATAGTGGACATACACATTTGTGCTTCCATCAGCAATGGATGAGTGTTCCTCTTACTCCACCCCTTGCCAGCATGAACTTGTTTTATTGATCTTAGCCATTCTGACATGTGTAAGATGAAATCTCAAAGCAGTTTTGATTTGCATATCTGATGACTAAGGATGTTGAACATTTGGGTGTCTCAGTTATTTGCGTTTCTTCTATTGAAAATTCTCTGTTTAGAGAGGTACCCATTTTAAATTGGGTTATTTGTTTTCTTGAGTTCTTTATATATTTTGGATACTAGCCCTCTAGCAGATGTGTTCTTTTGAAGTCCTCACTCCATAGATTTGGACCTTGATACAGGGAGTTAGGAGGCTCCTTTCTCCTACATCAATTACTCATTTTAGCTTACTTTTGTCAGCAGGGAGTATTACCACATAATTTGTAACCTCAGTGTGATACCTTGATTTATGCATAATCACTCACTAATTTCCTGTCCCCTCAAGTGAGATTTTCCTCTGGGCTTGGGCAGGTAGGTGGCAGTGTCTGGACTAGGAAGAGGAAGGTGACCCCTCCATAACCCTGAGTGCTCTTCAGCCCACTGTTTATAGAATAAACTGTGAGTGGGGTATAAACATTCAGTTCAGACCTTCATCTTGGTATTCACAGATGAACTTCTGGAGTCAAAACTACCATTTGTCTCTCAAAACCTTTACAAATAGTTATTTTAGTCTTTACAGGTTATGATGGTTAAAAGTCTATTTTGGCACTGTGGCTAGGAGTATGATTCTTTGTCCTCGCTGCCTCAGAAGCATACTGGGTACAGAGAAGCCTTGGGTCAAGGATGCCTGAGAGGAGGCTTTTCCAACATTTCAAAAATGACCTGTAATGATTTCCTGGCTCCACCTTGTGCTCAGTCCCTTGATCTTGATGTCCTGGTTGACTAGTGGCTTTCTGATGCTCTCAGTTTTTCTCTTTTGCTTTGTCCCTACTGTCTAAAACATTTATAATTGTAAACTGGCAAATTATAGTTTTATGTAGTTATAGGGCAGAAAACGTAGTTATAGGGTGGTGATTTATGGGTACAATATAGAATAATTCAATCAAACTGATTAACATATCCATCATTCAAATACCTATCATTTTTGTGGCAAGAACACTTGAGATTTACTCCCCTGGTGATTTTGAACATACAGTGTACTGTTCACTACACTTACCATGCTATGCAGTAGATCTGGAAAAAGGAAGTCCCTCTAACTTATTTGCCCTGTTTAATTTGGGCTTTGTATACTTTGAATATCCACTCCCCATTCCTGCATTCCTTAACCTCTGGTAACCAATGCTTTTCTGTTTCAACTGAGCTCAGTGGTTTTAGATTCCATAAGTAAGTGAGAACACACAGCGTTTGTCTTTCTGTGCCTGGCATAGCTCAGTGACTATGATGCTTTCCAGTTCTGCACATGTTGTTTTAATGATAGAATTTCCCAGTTTTAAAAAGCTGAATGGTATGTTGTGTATGTACTCACCACATTTTCCTTACTCATTCATCTACTGAATGACATTTAGGTGGATTCCATAGCTTGACAATTATGAACAGGGCTTCAATAAACATGGGAATGCAGGCAGCTCTCCAGCATGCCAACTATAAATTTTTTGGCTAAATACCCAGAAGTGGGATTGCTGGCTTGTAAGAGAATTTTACTTTTCAGTTTTTGAGGAATTTCTATACAGTTTTCCATGATGGCTATGCTGATTTATGTTCCCACCTATAGTATGAAAGGAGTCCCTTTTCTTCGTGCCTACTGTTTTCTGAGCGAGGGTTTGTGTCCCGTGCGCTGTATTTTCTCGCCAGCAAGAAATATACGCAGGACACTCGGATCCTTCTGCAGACAAGCTTTAATGCATAAGCTTACCAGAGCGGAGACACTGAAAAAACCCATCCCTAATAAAGGCTGGCCAGCCGCCTGGGACGTGTTACCCTATGAATGGCTTCAGCTCCTCAGGCCAAATGAGCCACGGGATAGGCAGAGATCAAAGGAATGGAGATTACCCAGCGCCTGTGAAGTAATTTACATCTTGGTGTCTTTAGGCACCATTATTGTAATGGATAATGCAGGAACCGGCTCCCTACAGGTTTGCATGGCCTTTCTCACTTCTACACCTCCCAGGAAGCAAAGTCTCAGAAGATATGTCCATTAGCTAGGCCATTTTGAGTGTTGAGCTGTCCACATTTCTAGCTTTTGCCTCCTGTCTGCTCTGGGAATCTCTTGATGCAGTTTCTACTTGCCTTCTATTATAGTTGTTGGCTTTTCCCAAAGTGTTCCTCCTCATCACCCAGTCTCTCTGTCTGAGAGCATAGACACAGTGTTTCTGTGTGGGAGGCAGGGTGCATGGTGGGTGGTGAGAGCCAGACACAGTGAGTGAGGCAGGTACAAAACTTCAAAGAAGGAGACATGTTCAGGAGGTAGATTGCCATGAAGAGAGTATCATGAAGTTTCTCAGTGGAGGCAAGACTTGCTGAAAGGTCTGGCTTAGGCTTCTTTTTGGATTATCATTTCAGTGCATTTCTACAGTTAATGACTTTTGTTCAAATTAAGCCCTTCCTGTTACAAGTCCTGGTATCTTATGCTTCACTCATAGATGCTGAGTGGGGTATAAGGGAGTAAATTGTTTATTTTTTTGGGACAGGGTTTCACTATGCATCTCTGGCTGTTCTGGAACTCATTATGTAGATCAGGCTGGCCTCAAATTCACAGAGATCAACCTGCCTATGCATCTGCCTCTGTAGTGCTAGGACTGAAGGTGTGCAATACCACACCTGGTTAGGAAGCTAATTTAAAAAATTATAATATAATTATATTATATTATGATCTAGCTTAAATAATCTTCACAGCATAAAACTTCACCAACATCAAGTTGTAAATGAAATAAAAAACACCGGAGGAAATAAATTACTATAAACTAGCAAGAGGCAGCTGGAAGACAACAAAGACACTGATATAAAATAGTTTATTTCAAATACTTAAAGTAATAAAATATACACCAAAGAGAGACAAAGGAATAAAATACTATTAAAGTACTTAGAAGATTAAAAGAATCGGAATCCTCAGAATGCAAATATGATAATTGAAATGAAAACTTGGTATGTGGAGGTTAGGATACAATTGCAGAAAAGAGATTGATCTGAAACG